AGTATATATTTTCTATATAAATTGTATTTCGTTAGGCAGACTTTATTCGGCGGCGGGGGGCTCTGTTCCCCCCCCCCCCCCCATAGAGATGTCACAAGAGATGCCGAAAAGATTAGACAAATAAATTAGGCTGTAATGTTAGTGTCTGTGTTATCTAGTACCGATGACGTCATTGTGTATTTTTTTTTCGGCATTGGATTTTTAATTCTGTTTACTCTAGAATCACTGGCGTCATTTTATCGTGTGTGCTTTTTCGGCTATAGAATTGCTCATATTTTGTTTCGTTTTGAAAATTTCTTATAGGCCTATGTTCCATGTGACGTCACGTTTTTCGTTTGACTGTGAAAGTTTCCCGACAGACAGACTGACTGACAGAATAACGTAACTATTATAGTTTTGTTCCTCTACTTCCTCCCTACTTATTTTTACATTGTTCATTGTACATTGTTCATTTCACCCATTTCCTCCCTATTATTCTTATATTGTTATATTCTTCCCATTCATCCCTCACATTGTTCTGCACACCCCCCCCCCCCTCCTTCTCCATGTGCCAGTCCGTTCTTGTTTTGGTTTGTTTACTTTTAATGCTCTTTTGTTTTATCGGTTAACTTATTTGGAGGCTTTTATAAAACCATGTGAACTAAATAAATATTGTAACAGCATCGCCCCAAACATTTGCCTCCCACCCCTCCCCATCTCCATACAATAAATATTTTTATTACGACACTTCAAATGACATTTGAACAGATTGTTTATGTAGAGAAGTAAACTTTTACTATTTTGAAGCCAGTGATAAAATGCCTTGAAATCCCATTAAAGCTAAAAACATTTTTTACGATCAGACGGTTATATTAGAAACAACACTCCAGTGAACAGAACGGCTTGCGTGTATCTCACCCTCACCCCACCCCCACCCCCACCCCCTTATTTTATCACGTCACTTGATTGATAGGGCACAGATGCAGAGCTACCCGGTTGGTCTACACAGACACATTTTATAGAGCTCATTTGTAACATCATACAAGAAGTTTTTTTTTTATATACGTCATTAATTCAGACATTTATGGCTTAAGTGGAAGGTGCAGTCATTTCTTACCTATACAGAAATTTATTACCACCGTCATATACGCAGACATTTTTTTCAAGTTTTGTACCAAAATAATCTACTCAGAAATGTATTACCAACAGACATTTATTATAAACGCAATCAATGCAGACATTCTTGTTTTAGTTATCCATTTATTATTGTAAATCTACTCGAATAAATAAAGGGCGACAAAATAAGGGAGACAAATACTGGAGTAGAGGTATAAATGTGTTGTTAACAAGTATATAGGAAGTAGATATTGAAAGAGATAACATGAATAGCTACACATATTTTAATTCGTGCCTCACATGAACAGTAAAATGTTTGGCTTCAGGCAACCATCACAATGTGGGCTTCAAACAACCATCACAATGTGGGCTTCAAACAACCAGCAATATGTGGGCTTCACTCAACCTATTATATGTTGGCATCACACAACCATTTATCTGTGAGCTTCACACAACCATCACAATGTGGGATTCATACATCCATTAATATTTGGGCTTCACACAACCAGTGGTATGTGGGCTTCACACGACCATCAATATGTGGGCTTCACACAACCAGAGGTATGTAGGCTTCACACAACCAATCAATTTGTGGGCTTCACACAACCACCACAATGTGGGCTTCACATGACCATTTATATATGGGCTTCACACAGCCATTAATATGTGGGCTTCACATTACCATTACTATGTAGATTTCACACAACCAGTGGTATGTAGGCTTCACACGATCATCAATATGTTGGCTACACAACATTGTAACAAAAGCTTTTATCTTTATTTTGATCATTAATATTCATTCTGTCATTAAAGGTTGTAATTACCTCACAGATGTCGCCTGACTAAAGGATTACTTTGCTGTCGTTGACGTGGGTAGGGAGCGTAGTCCTATATGCTAGTGTGTTGAGAGATTGATATATAGATACCTCTTTGTTATAATGTTTTATGTAACCATTTATAACGGAAAAAATTGTTTATGGAAATTACCCTTCTAAAAGTGTCGTCTACTTGTGCTATACATTGAGCAGTATGCTTTAAAAAATATTCGGCAACATATCATCATTGTAGGATATAGAGTTCTCCACACTGTAAAGCGACATGTTGCGTATGCTGTGCATGATATTTAAAACACTGAAACAGTTTTCTTGTTACCGACAACTCTGTGATTCAGTTTTTTAAATCCCCATTTAATCACTTGTGTTATGTTACCCTCTGGTCAACATATCAGATTATTTTATAAATTACGATCCGTCTAATTAAAGACAACTTTTATATTTAAACTGAGCATGACTTCCGGGGACTCATCAAATGACATTGTGAGCTAAAGCAAATGTCCATGTGGGCAGCAGAAACGGCCCCTAATCTAAGCACAATACACAATACACAATGCAAATTTGTTTAGATAAAACGTAATTTCTTTTTTGATCCCACCCATGACAGATACTATGACTGATGCCACCTATGGCAGATACTATGACTGAGGCCACCTATGGCAGATACTATGACTGATGTCACCTATGGAAGATACTATGACTGAGGCCACCTATGTCAGATACTATGACTGATGCCACCTATGGCAGATACTATGACTGAGGCCACCTATGGCAGATACTATGACTGATGTCACCTATGGCAGATACTATGACTGAGGCCACCTATGGCAGATACTATGACTGATACCACCTATAGCAGATACTATGACTGATGTCACCTATAGCAGATACTATGACTGATGCCACCTATAGCAGATACTATGACTGATGCCACCTATAGCAGATACTATGACTGATGTCACCTATGGCAGATACTATGACTGATGCCACCTATAGCAGATACTATGGCTGATGCCACCTATAGCAGATACTATGACTGATGCCACCTATAGCAGATACTATGACTGATGCCACCTATGGCAGATACTATGACTGATGCCACCTATAGCAGATACTATGACTGATGCCACCTATGGCAGATACTATGACTGATGCCACCTATGGCAGATACTATGACTGAGGCCACCTATAGCAGATACTATGACTGAGGCCACCTATAGCAGATACTATGACTGAGGCCACCTATGTCAGATACTATGACTGAGGCCACCTATAGCAGATACTATGACTGAGGCCACCTATAGCAGATACTATGACTGAGGCCACCTATGGCAGATACTATGACTGATGTCACCTATGGCAGACACTATGACTGATGTCACCTATGGCAGATACTATGACTGAGGCCACCTATGGCAGATACTATGACTGATACCACCTATAGCAGATACTATGACTGATGTCACCTATAGCAGATACTATGACTGATGCCACCTATAGCAGATACTATGACTGATGCCACCTATAGCAGATACTATGACTGATGTCACCTATGGCAGATACTATGACTGATGCCACCTATAGCAGATACTATGGCTGATGCCACCTATAGCAGATACTATGACTGATGCCACCTATAGCAGATACTATGACTGATGCCACCTATGGCAGATACTATGACTGATGCCACCTATAGCAGATACTATGACTGATGCCACCTATGGCAGATACTATGACTGATGCCACCTATGGCAGATACTATGACTGAGGCCACCTATAGCAGATACTATGACTGAGGCCACCTATAGCAGATACTATGACTGAGGCCACCTATGGCAGATACTATGACTGATGTCACCTATGGCAGACACTATGACTGATGCCACCTATGGCAGATACTATGACTGATGCCACCTGTGTCAGATACTATGACTGAGGCCACCTATGTCAGATACTATGACTAATGCCACCTGTGGCAGATAAAATGGCTGATGCCACCTATGGCAGATACTATAAAATGACTGATGCCACGTTTGTATATAATAACGAAACCCATTTGATGTAAAGTTCTGCAGAGATAGTCATGGGACTGTTTAAGCCGCTGACCTAGTTTTACAACACGCTCTGTCACCTTACACTTAACAAACACCCGCCTTGTCTTATTTATATACGATAAATTCTTGATTTTAATTGAACCGGCCCATGGAGGAGCACGTAGACACACAATCCAACTCTCTACGCTATAGAAAAAAGATAGAAAAACAACCTTTTAAGCTTCAAGTGAAAGTCGAAATAAAATGGCAGCTTCTCTTTTAGCCTTGTTGAATGAAAGTTTTTAACGACGTCCACATTATGATAATGACCAAACAGTGCAAACATTCAGTGAAAGGAAAAATTTTATCCAGGGATTCTTGCATTGCTAAAGCTAACAATCACTGGGTAGGTGCGCTGCAGAAGTTGATACTGGTACGGTATCGTACTTTGAATTACTACCCAGATTCTGCGACTATGTGAAAAATACGGGTAGCTCAAACTATGGCAGATTAATGGCTAGTCCGAAATGTCTAATTGTCTATAACTTTTGAAGTCTAATTAGGCCTATATTTTATTAAACGGTAGTCTAATTACAAAGTTCTAAACGAAAAAGTTTTTTTTGTCCGTCTCGTTAGCTGATCTATCAGAGTTTCTTCCAGTTCGCCCCCCCCCCCCCCGAAAAAATTCTACCGCCCCCTCCCCCGAACGAAATGAAATTTATATAATTTTTATAGAAAATATATACTTTTAACAGTGTCCGCCCCCGCGAAAAAAGTCTACCGCCCCCCCCCCCCCCGAAAATTTCAAGTGCCCCCCCCCCGGAGAAAAAAGTCTGGAAGAAACACTGTGATCTATTACGTCCTATTGGCATAAACAGTTCTAACATGTCCGCCAGCATACATAAATCATGATAGGAGCCAATTTAACAGAAACAACTAATTAATGAATTAAACGTATAGGCCTACAATATTTTTCTGTCATTTTAATAAAACATGAATGAAGGTTGTCTGCCCTGTAGATCTGCTGTAGTTCAAACCTTAGACAAACACACTCTCTCTACGTTTTCGACACCAGCCCTCCTTTAAGAGTTAATGACTGGTGAAAGATTCCTAAGATACCGCTAGAGGGTTAGTCGGTCACAAACAACCGGAAGTAACAGTATCAGGCAGCAAAGTGGACAAGACGGTGGGCGTGGCAAAGAAAAGCTGTGCGGCCACAGACTAGTGTGCGATTTTTTTATTGTAACTTCTATTTGGGATTTCAGTTGTTAGATTTGTAAGCAACACGTTTTTATTATTTTACCAAAATATTTATAAACTTAAATAACACACATATGTTTATATATACATATATATATATATATATATATATATATATATATATATATTATATATATATATATATATATATATATATATATATAAATATATGTATATATATATATATATATATATATATATATATATATATATATATATATATATATATATATATATATATATATTTAAATAATATATATATGCATGTATAAATGTACGTATATATATATATATATATATATATATATATATATATATATATATATATATATATATATATATATGTATATATATATATATATATATATATATATATATATATATATATATATATATATATATATATATATATATATATATATTTAAATAATATATATATGCATGTATAAATGTACGTATATATATATATATATATATATATATATATATATATATATATATATATATATATTTATATATATATATATATATATATATATATATATATATATATATATATATATATATATATATATATATATATGTGTGTGTGTGTGTGTGTGTGTGTCTTCATAATATGTATTTATTGTTGAGGCTATATGCGTGTTTATTTTCGTTTTGTTTGCCAAACTAAGCAACACGGTGCTAGTGTGTGGCTGGTTGTACACTGGCTGTACAGGTAACAACAAGGTGTCTACGTGTTTCTGACACATTGAAATAACTACACAACTCCACACAAAACCTACGTACACTCGAGTCTTGTACAGCTGTACCTTCACACCCACGATCAACAGCTTAGCTGCATTAGCACGATAACAAAACAATGGGGACGTGTGCAATTTACTTTGTGGGAAATTAAACTGGGACTCGTGACATGATATTATGTCCAGTTATTTCTTTTTAACTAATTTAATTAAAACATATCTATCATATATCTCATTGTTGCCATCATTATATTGATTTTTTCTTCAGCGTAAATGTAAGTGTGCGTGTACATGTACGCGTACGTGTACGAGTGTATTTGTGGCTATTACTATTCCGTAAGAAACAAGCTCTGCATATTTCCATTTCTTTTACCAAAGTGTCCCAGAAACCTAGAGCACATCTGCCCTATTTTTTATTCATTTACTGTTTACGTAAAAGCAGTATCTCCAGTCAACAAGTTATGGTCTGTTAACTGTCATGCGTGACTGCTGTTCATTTGAAAGCAGTTTGATCAGAGTTGATAGTTACCTTTAGGACTGGTAATATACATAGATTCAGAATTTAAAAAACAAATATAGTAATAGAGATCTTCTTAATAATGTTTAAAAGCACTAGCAATACTTTTTTGTGTTAAGGAAAAGAATATGTCATGTTAAAGTTAAAGAAAAAAGTGTATTTCTAAACACCGTTACTGCTGGGGTTTTAGAATGAAATTTATGGTACATTTAGTGTGCTGGGGTGTTAGTTATAGAATTTGTCTGTAATGAGGAAAGTGGCGGAGTTAGACAGTCAGGTGGGCGTGGCAGATATACTTGTGTGTAAAAGTTGATGGTAGAGTCAGTCATTATGTAGTCTGGAGTTGAATGTGTGAGACATAGACAAACTGAGCTCTTCACAGTAAGTTAAAGCCACATTTTATTTTTAACATCTCGATCATAACACTGACCCAAGTTAAGCTTGTTAATATAAATATTACGATAACCATAATTTTCACACAAGCTTTAATATTAACTTGTTTTAATAACACGTCTTCCAGCTAACGAGTATCTACCGATAAATATTTAACCATTTAATTTTTAACACAGTTGTTAATTATTTATTTCAGGCAGTACAGGTAAAATTGGATGACCGGAATGCTTGTTTTGTTGTTTGTGACGGTTGGCCTCGTTCACTGGGGTCGAGGACAACCCGGCAATACGGATGTGGAGGATTTCCTAACACGGTATAACGACGAAGCTCAAAAAGTGTATTTTGCTGACGTGTCCGCTGAATGGAACTTCAACACCAACATAACAGATTACAATCAAGAGAAGATGGTAAGTCACACGAAACTTCAACACCAACATAACAGATTACAATCAAGAGAAGATGGTAAGTCGCACGAAACTTCAACACCAACATAACAGATTACAATCAAGAGAAGATGGTAAGTCGCACGAAACTTAGTCACCAACATAACAGATTACAATCAAGAGAAGATGATAAGTCGCACGAAACTTCAACACCAACATAACAGATTACAATCAAGAGAAGATGGTAAGTCGCACGAAACTTCAACACCAACATAACAGATTACAATCAAGAGAAGATGATAAGTCACACGAAACTTCAACACCAACATAAAAGTTTATAAGAACTATTTAAAATTAGCGGTAATTCCCCTGTTACAACCACTACGCACACGCAAATCATGCATGTTAGGTTCGCTTTAAAAATAACCAACAGTGTTTCATTCAGATAAGTATAGCTATACAAACACACATAGACCCACACAGACACAGACAAACAGACACACAGACACACACAGACACACACATATATATATAAATAAATAAATAATATATATATATATATATATATATATATATATATATATATATATATATATATGTATATATATGATCATATTTGCTATTTTAGGATCCAAAAGAAACAGAACAGTGATAACAGTTTATACTTAAGAACCGATTGTAATGTTTGTGCTTAATTACATTTTTAATATTCTTGATTTCTTCTAGCTGGAGCAGAAACTTCTAACGGCTAAATTTTCCCAGGAAGCCTATAATAACGCGTCACAGTTTAACCTGACCAACATGACTCCCATTCAAAGACGCCAGTTTATCAAAATTATGGACATTGGTACCTCAGCACAAAGAAATCAGACAAAACTGGCTAGGGTAAGTTTGTGAAATTATGGATTTATAATCATCCTAAAGTTCTCAAACAGCTTATTTTCTTATACTCACAGAACTTTAACAAATAGTTTAATGCGTGCTTATTTTCTTACAGCTACAAAAAGTTTTGAGTGACATGGAATCTATTTATAGTACCGCAACTGTGTGTGTGAAACCTGAAAAATGCGTCCACCTTGATCCAGGTGGGGTTTTAGAATATTTGCTAATAACTGGTACAACATTTACTCCTGCTTCCCTACCCATAGATACATTCGACCAAATCTATAACCTCTCTTCAGTAAATATGTATCTCACACAATAGCGTAGCGAGGGTGGGGGGGGGGGGGGCAGGGGGGGGACATATGTCCCCGGGCGCCGACCTTAGGGGGCGCCAAAATGGGTTGGAAAAATAAATTGAAAGGTTGAGGGGGGTGCAAATAGAAAGTTTGGGGGGGGGGGTGCAAATCGAAATCTCAAGGGGGGTGGGGTGCAAATCGAAAAGTTTGTCCCCGGGCGCCGGGAAGGGTCGCTACACCATACAAGAAACTACCCACTTGCATGTTAAAGTCACCCATCTCTTCACCACATGATACATTACAGATAGCTTACACTGCACATTTACAGCAACACTACACTGCAAGAGGATTACTATGCCGTATATAATAATCCTAAGCAATCTAATAATTCAATTCTATTTGTTGAATTTGACACCCTACAATAAAAAAAGAATTAGCATTCCTAATACTGAAGTAATCCTTATTTCATGTATCCCACATGTATGCGAGTTAAGTGAACAAATGAAAGGCATGTTACACAATGTCTAGGTATTATCAAATTATCGAACTGATAATGCTACTAAATATGAGCTATATATACATATACATATACATATATATATATATATATATATATATATATATATATATATATATATATATATATATATATATATATATATATATGTATATGATTAAGGAAAATTAGTTCTTTACTCATCTCAGTAACAATTAAAATTGTAAAATATTACTTGTTTTAAAATTTCATCTTCTTAGAACTATCTGAGATTTTGGCTTCGTCGAGAGATTACAATGAGCTGTTGATCGCATGGCAGGGATGGAGGGACGTTTCTGGTGCTAAGATGAAAGACTTGTTTTCGGAATACGTGGCACTGAGTAACGAGGCAGTAAAATATCTAGGTAGGATTAAGAATCTAAAAGGAAAATAAATTATTACATTTCTGTACCATAACATTACTGTTCAACGAATGGGATTTCTACTTTAATAAATGTTTCAACAAAAAATTATCTCCTTACAGGTCACGCGGACACTGGCGCCTACTGGAGATCCTGGTATGATGACGCTAGTTTCAAGGACGATGTTCGAGCTTTGTTCGATCAGGTCCGGCCACTGTACGAACACCTGCACGCTTATGCTAGACGTAAACTTAAGGCGATCTACGGGGAGGACAAGTTTCCTGCTTCAGGACACATCCCAGCACATCTGCTAGGTAAGGTCAAGGCACTTTACTATGGTGGCGGCCGGGATATCACAGCAGACACAACTACTAGGTAAGGGCACGACACTTTACTGTGGTGGTGGGAGGGGGGGTGGAAGACAGCAAAATTGCAAAGTTAGGATACGACACTTATCATTTGGGGTAAGGGGATATCACAGTACAACTGCTAGGTAAGTGGACAACACTTAGGGACATGACGCAGCGCATTATACCTAACCTTTGGGGGGTGGGGATATCGCAGCACAAGTGCTAGGTAAGCGCAAGACACTAGGGGCTACGACACAGCACCACTGCTAGGTAAGGGTAAGAAACTTCCGTGAAAGGGGACATCCATACATCTCAGATAGATAGACGTTAGTAACTCGTTAGATGATGAAAAGTTAAGGCTTATCGCAGCATTCCTGTTTGGTATAGGATTGGCGGGATAACACATATGCAACACTTTTTCCATGCCCGTAACATTGAACCCTACTTCCTGCATTAAAGTGGCCTTTAAATTTATTTTGACAGTTTAAATATTATCATGCTGTTTTCGTTAAACTTTTAAAACCTATGTATAACTAACCAGGTAACATGTGGGCTCAGCAGTGGAATAATATCTATGATGTACTGGTACCTTTTAGTGACAAACCTACGTTGGATGTAACGGATGAAATGGTCAGACAGGTAAACGGCAGAGTTTATTGTACAGCTAAACCCACGTTGTTAACATTTTTAGCCAAGTACATTTATTATTTTTTAGTCAATAAATCAGTCAATTAATCACCCCTTAAACCCAGAGTTAGAACGAACACCACATTTAATTGTTTCATAATTTTCCGATAACGTTTTCGCCTTCGCCTTTGTTAATATTTTTATTTATTTTACATCTGGGATGTATTCATCACATGATCTTTTGGCTCTATAGAACTACACAGCTCTGAAGATATTCCAGACCGCTGATGATTTCTTCAGATCACTCGGCATGATTCCAATGCCCGAAGAGTTCTGGAACAAATCCCTCATAGAAAGACCTAAAGATGGCCGTGAGGTCGTATGCCACGCTTCTGCTTGGGATTTTTATAACGCTAAAGATTTTAGGTGAGTTTTAGTATTAACTTCTTATTTCGTTAGCCATTCTGATTTTAAAATATATCTCTGAGTAGGGATTATATAAAATATCATTTCAAATTTTAACGTCCAATTTTACTTCTGCATATATCTTTTTTAATTTCTTTCTTGGCAAACCGTTTTCCGGTGGATTTTTGTTCAAAGTCAGAGTGGTAAAAAAGCGCTGATCGCATAAAATTTCCACACGAAAAAAATGAATATTTTGTTGACACCACGCAAATTGAAAATTCGTGAGATTTGAGAAACATAAGCACGAATTAACACTAAAAGCACATGAACAACATGGACAATGTGATCAATTATTACCCGAACACAATATTTTAGAAAATCCCCCGGGGCGGAGAGGAGGGAGGCTGTAGTGCACTACTTAAAACTTTGGGCTGGGGGAGGGGGAACTTAAATTACCCGGATGTGGGACTGGTTAATTAAAGTAGCCTATACATTTTAAAAATAAATTATATATTTAAATAGGTGGGTGTTAAGGGGGTGGGACGCAATTCCTGAAGAGAAATTCTTGAGTTGAATTTACTTCCATAAGTTTGTAAATTTATTAATGTTTATCATCTAGAATCGCTTTATAAACTTCAATTTGTATTTAAAATCTTTAAGACAATTAGGGGTTTTATCTTCCTCGTAATGCAATAATATTTTTTTTTATCACTGCAAAACTTCCTGAACGATTGAGTAGTATAAAGATGTGCGCGACTGCTAAGCGGAACCATTTATTAACGGCGCACCACGAAATGGGACACAGTGAATACCATCTCCTATACAAACATTTACCCGTACAATTCAGGAGAGGGGCCAACCCCGGTGTGTTATTTGCCTTCGTGCATGTTTTTATTTGCATTACTGCTAATATTTTTTGAAAAGGATGAAACATCATTTCCTATTGCTTTACTGTTTTGTTCATGGTGTAAGGGGCGTGCTTTGATTACTTATTGTAATTACAAAAAAGGTAACTTTTTGTATGTAAATTATTGTTGTTACTGCTGATTAAATAAATATACATCGATGATTTATAACATCAATACACGGAAAGTAACCAATGTAATACCATATTACAGTGGCGTAGCGAGGTTGGGTGTCACCCGGTGCGGCACTTAATGGTGTCACCCCCTAGAGGCGTAGCGACCCTTCCCGGGGACAATTTTCGATTTGCACCGCCCTCAAACTTTCAATTTGCATCCCCCCTGTCAAGTTTTCGATTTGCACCCCCCCCCCTCAAACTTTCGATTTGCACCCCCTCCCTCAAGTTTTTCTCTATATATTTTGCTATTTTTTGCCTTGGTGTCATCCTCCTAAATGTTGTCACCCGGGGCGGTCCGCACTTCCCGCCCCCCCTCTCGCTACGCCTCTGCCATATTAGCTACTTACATTTTAAAGAAATTGTGCGTTCCTCCTTTGCATTTTTAACATTAAAATCCTTTTGTTTAAATCGCGAAGAGCATATAGATAGACGAAAAGTATAATAAACGCCGGCTAAAATTTATAATATGAAATCATATTTTAACCAAGTTTAAAATATTATTCTTGGAAATCGAAACACATCCTTATGGTTTATAAGAGTTAAGCATAATCTAACGGATGAAACGATTTAATGCATGCTTTTTTTGTGTCTAGAATTAAACAGTGTACAGTGATAAATGCCGAAGACTTGGAGGTTACCCATCACGAAATGGGACACATTCAGTACTTTCTACAGTACAAGAATCAGACAGTTGAATTCAGAGATGGTGCAAATCCCGGTGTGTTATTTCATCCTAATTTTGAATTTTGAATCAAAATTCTAACATTTCTGTAAAAAACATTCGTCTCTTATTGCAACCAGTATATCTTACGTATTTCGCAGCTAACATATTAATAGCTATAAAAAGAAAAGCTTATCTTAGATAATCCGCATAGTAAAGGGGATGTTGGCAGAAAATCTGTCAATCTATATCAATGTTAACTTATCCCTTTCTATATACTCAATCTTATTTTGCTAATATATGTCCTTTAGTTATTTTGCTTTATTACACAATTGTTTTTGCTTCATATATATCATTCATGTATTTTTTCATATAAAATCATACATCACTCTTCATTCAATTTGTATATTAATTGTTGTATAAAAATCTTCAACACAATAACTTATCGATTATGCAATACTCAGAATCATAAGAAAAATAGTCCCACCTGCTAAACGTTGGACTAATGATGGCCAAATGTGTGTATAGCCATCTCTAGATCAATCGTTTTTAGAAGTTTCTCTTTAGTCATCAGGCAGTTTGGGACGTTCTCTAATTAGTCCTCCAATCTCGTCTCCTGGTATAGAATCTTACAGTGCACAATGATTTACCAGGAAGATCTCCAAATAGCTCATCACGAGATGGGGCATATACAGTACAACTTGCAGGTGAAAGGGCTGCCTCACAAATTTAGAGAAGGGGCTAACCCCGGTTGGTTGAGCATGTCATTTCAGATCCTTAATAAAGGAATGTCTAAACGAACACAGAGCACCATTTATTTTAAATTTCCAAACTTTCACCATTGCGTTGTGTCTAGTATAAAAATATGTGGAAAAAAAAGATGAACAGTAACTTTAAGCATTTTATTATTATTATTTTTTTCATAATGCTTTTTAAGAGGACAAAGTTTTAAAATCTTTTCTCCTAAAAAAAGCTCATTACGTCTCTAAAAATGCTGTTTTCCATATATTTTTTTTTTGTATTTGAATGTTTTCTCAATAATCTTTACGTGTGCAGGAATTTGTATTCAGTAAGTATAAATACAACTATACTGCCTTTATAGTAGTGATACAACTCACTTAAAGCATCGTAATTGTTTTTAAAAGTAATTTTAAAACGAGTTGTTTGATCATATATTAATGTTAAACACTCACACATATTTTGTAAGACATGTTTGCACTATTCTTTTGCAAAATAATACACTTAACTTATCTAATAAAGATTAAAGTATAGTTATATACTAAAAATATTTAAATCCAATATCTACAGAAGTATTCAACATATTGTTTAAATTTATTTTTTCATAATCCTCAATCTAAAATTAATAAGTATGTTGAGGTTTTTAATTATTCTCTTTAAACATAATTGAAATTAAGTAAAATTTATATAAGTCCCTACATGGCTTTTCATGAAAACTTAAATTTTAAATTTTTGTAACTATTAGATTTTTATTAAATCTTTTCGTGTCCGTGTCGACGTGACTTTGCATGGTTTCAGTGTTTGTCCCCGCAGGTTTCCATGAGGCTGTAGGGGACACAATATCCCTGTCAGTCCAAACACAGGAGCACATGAAATCTATCAACTTGATTAAGGAGGTGGGCAGTGACATCAGTAAGTGGCATCATTAGAGGCGTAAGATTTTGAAAAATTTAGACGCCTCGCATTACTCGTTAGATTTCTTTTACTTTTTACTAAAAGAGCCTTTTCCATAATAATGAAGTAATATTAGAAGCAGGTAAAACCTCACTCTCGGCATTTTTTCACATCCCATGTATTGTTGAGAAAAATTGTCATTATCTTTATTTTGATAGAATGAGAACACAGAAATTTTGTGGCATCGATTCATTCTGTCCCGTCTTTAACGACTAACAATCTCCCTCTACCAGAATCCGACATCAACTTTCTACTGAACATGGCCCTACAAAAGATCGCTTTTCTACCGTTTGGTTATCTTATCGACCAGTGGAGGTGGGAGGTTTTTAGTGGTGACACGACTAAAGATAACTACAACAACCGATGGTGGGAGTACAGGTGAGCAGCGGGCTAAAACCAACGTAACATAAAAAACGTGTTCGTAATAGTTTAATAATAATTCAATAATAATGGATAAACATTATATATATATATATATATATATATATATGTATGTAAAATATGTTTATATTTCTTAAAGGTGTCGATACCAGGGTCTATCTCCACCAGTACCAAGAAACAGCTCACACTTTGACCCTGGTGCTAAATACCATATACCTGCCAGTGTACCCTATATAAGGTTTGTCGATTACGCTCACTATCAGTATAATATATACATATATATATATATATATATATATATATATATATATATATATATATATATATATATATATATATATATATATATATATATATATATATAAGATCAAACATGACAAAAGCCTAATTCAGATTCTCTCAGGTAACTTTTCGGGTGTGTGAGGGAGGGGGTAAGGTGTGCTAAACCTCAAGCATGCAGAATTGTTTCTTTCAGACTTTGTTTCTCCGGGGGTAGGGGGGGGGGGCACTTGAAATCTTCCCGAGGGCGGATTAAATTCTCCGGTGGAGGGGAGACAGGCACTGGTATATATTTTCGAAATGAATTCGTAAACAAATGCTTAAGGCATATACTTAAAATAAGATGGCCGGACAGAATATCAAACAAAGACCTGTGGCGAACTTTAAAGCAACAGCCAATAGAGACAGATATCAAGGCCCGTAAATGGGGATGGATCAGACACATATTAAGAAAAGAAAAAGAAAACATCGCAAAACACACTTTGGACTGGAATCCCCAGGGAAAAAGGAGGGTGGGCCGGCCAAGATAGACATGGAGAAGAACGGTTGAAGAAGAGGCGAAAACAGCTGGGCTCACATGGGCACAGATCAAGGGAGCAGTCCAAAACTGAGTCCGATGGAGATGTGTGGTTGCAGCCATTTGCTCCCCAGGGGCCACAAAGGAATGATGATGATATAAATTCAATTTCGTTCGAACGGTGATAGGATGGGGGGGGGGGGAGGAATCATTACCTGATATCTTTTGTTCGTAAGATCGTTTGTCCTTGAGATCTTTTGTCCTGGGAACGTTTGTCCTGAGATCATTTCTTATGGAACCATATATATAAATATATATATATATATATATATATATATATATATATATATATATATATATATATATATATATATATATATATATATATATATATATATGTATATATATATATATATATATATATGTATATATATAAGGCCCTTTATGATGGTATTCAATATGATTTTTAAAAATTTCTACAGGTATTTTGTTAGTTTCATTATACAGTTCCAGTTCCACAAAGCACTGTGTGACGTTTCTGGGTACACAGGTCCATTACACAGGTGTGATATTTACAACAACACTGATGCAGGTGCAAAACTAAGGTAAGATATTTAATTATTCCCATGTTGCAGAAATAAAAAAAATAGCCCATGGAATTTTCAATTATTTATTACGTTTCAGATTGTAATTGATTATGCTGATTCTTTAATTACACTATCATTGCATTCACAAAAGTATAGAAATTATATTCGATTAACCACTTTTAGTGTACAACTTCTGTTTTTAGTGAAATGTTGAGACTCGGGTCGTCAAAACCTTGGCCAGAAGCCATGCATGTTCTAACTGGCCAATACAAGATGGACGCCCAGCCTCTGATTGACTACTTTAAACCATTAATGGATTATTTGGTTAAAGAAAACGGCAACGACTACGGGTGGGATCCACACTGCCCTACACCAGATTCTTCAGGTCAAAACAATCATCAGATGGGACGCTTTGTTTTGAATTATTTTTTCATTTTGTTTGTGCCTATTATTTCTTTCAGTTTTATTTGGTTGCTTTAGAATGTTCTTTTACGTTATTTTTCTTTCCTCTTTTTTTTTTTTTGGATACGTTCGTTTTATACTTTTTTTTTTACCTTTTTTTTTATCAGAATACATTCTGACTGTACAGCCAATTACATTGTCTAGACATGACTGTACAGTTTTTTTACATATTCTGTCTAGATATAACTGTGAGTTTCTTTAATTTTTTTTTCAAATGACTGTGCAGTTTCTTACATTGACAATCTCGACATGACTTCACAGTTTCTAAAATTACCTTGACATGACTGTACAGTTTCTTACATGGTCTAGACATGACTATAAGAGTTTATTATTTTTCCGGTCTATACATGACTGTCTCGTACGGACTGCAGTAACTGAAATTGATCGTCTCGACTTGATGGTACATTTTCTTACATTGCTGTCTCGACATGACTGTACAGTTGCTTAAACTGTCTTGACATGACTGTGCACTTTCTTACATTGACTGTCTCGACATGACTGTACAGTTGCTTAAACTGTCTTGACATGACTGTACAGTTGATTAAACTGTCTTGACATGACTGTGCACTTTCTTTCATTGACTGTCTCGACATGACTGTGCAGTTACTTAAACTGTCTTGACATGACTGTACAGTTGCTTAAACTGTCTTGACATGACTGTACAGTTATTTACATTGACTGTTTCGAAATGACTGTACAGCTTCTTACATTGTTTAGACATGAAACGATTGTCCAACGTCTTGCAAAAACTGATTAGACACAACCAGTGAAATATTAGTTGGCAATGTTAATTTACATGGCTTCATTATCAGGACTATTATGATTTTATTTTTTGGTATTCTTGTTTGTTACTGAGGATAGGATTGTTCTTCCATTCCTTTTTAGTTTGGGTGCTTTCGGATTTTTGTTACCACCCTAATTCTGTTTTAGAACCAGTATATATATATATATGTATATATATATATATATATATATATATATATATATATATATATATATATATATATATATATATTTATAGCCTATGTAGAGTATGTAGTATGTAGTATATATATATATATATATATATATATATATATATATATATATATATATATATATATATATATATATTGGTGACTGTCTATGAACATGAAGGCAAACTATGCATTAAAATTCATTTAACAGATCTTACATATTATCGTTTAGTCGTACAAATATAAGGTAATTCTATTATTATATTAAAAATAAGTTCAATTAAACACTTTCAGAAGCATTACTGAATTCGCAGCATGTTATTTAGAGTTCTGTACTTAAACGGATAAAATGTAATGTATGATTTATTACTTAAGGTGGCTGTTAACAGTTCAACCAAAGAGAATTAAGGCTGAATACACAGATATTCCAATATTTGAAAATCATGGTCAATAAACCATATATTAAAATAAAATGTGTTGTTTGATTTTTTTAAGAATTGTTGGTATTAAATACATGTTATTTAGACGAAATAAATGAATCTTTTAAAATAATTCTTACTAAATTAATAATGTAACTGACAGCATCATATATATATATATATATATATATATATATATATATATATATATATATATATATATACATATACATATATATATATATGTGCAATTAATTATGATATATATATATCATCAAAATATGCATGCTTGCACTTGTACATGTTCATGTATGTCTGTCATTGTCTATGTTTATGTCTAGACTTTATTTCCATGTCTATGGCTAATTTTGGTGACCATGTTACTTATTGATTGCAGCACTACTAATTAGTTAACGCCAGTAGGGAACAGATGTTTCAGAGTTTACGTGAGACTTCGTCGGTTTGTTGATTACTTGGTCAACACCAGTCTTAATTATTTTACCTTACATTATGCTACTGAAAGATAAAACACAATTACACGAAAAATCACATATGTTGCTTCTGATAGTAAAAAGTACATTGGCAATGTAATCGCTCATTTATTCGAAGCTTTGTAGACTAAGAAGATAAGCGTTATGAAGTATCCATAAAGGGAAATAATACATTAATCATATTTCTATCAAAACATCGTATCATACCGCTGAGAAACAAACAAAAATGTAGTGATTTAAAAAAAAACCACTTGTTCTACTAAGCTACGTAAGTCACACAAGTCATGGTCACGTAAATTAAAGTTTATCTAATGGGGGCGAGGATCTCCTTCAAATAGTTGGAGCATCGCTTTAGAGTTGATTAATGCTGCATTGTCTGAAGCTGGAAGTTGCAAGGATATACCTGATCAAGAATGTAAAGAAGTTAAAACATTTTTTTCTTAAATAATATTTTAGAATTTTGTTTACACATCGCATTAGTTTTTAAAATCAATTAGATAAAGAAGAGTATTTATAAAACTATTATGGTTCGAGTTTGATTAATTATTAATTTGCATTTTTAAATATTGTGCTCAATTTTCAGAAAAAAACATATCAATCCTCTTTGCTTAATATAGCCGTTAAAATTTTCGTTCCTGTAGGGTTTGCCAAATAGCTCTCTAAAACTAGACTATAGTTTGTGGATTTTGTTCTCAAAGCAAAAACTGTATTTGAATTCCTGGCTCCTACACATGTAATCAGAATGCTTTGGCATTTTAAATCTTTACCCAGCCCATTCTATAAACCTCTTATACCGCCTAATTTTTTGCATTACGTTGTACCAACAGTGCACTTAGTATATACATGGTTTTGCTTGCAAATGTTGGGTTGAGGTAACTTGAACATTTTCATTATGAGGCATGACAAATACTGACCCAATAATCAAGATTAATGTAATAGTAGTTTAACCAAAACTTGGGCTTGATCGTAACTTTGTCGGCGACACCATTTATATAGTAGTTATATATATCTCCACTTCTTTACAGTTTACACTGGGTAAACATCATGATGGTGGTATTGATTCTGTCGATTGGCCTCATTCGCTGGGGCCAAGTGCAAACCAGCAATGTGGATGTAGAGGATTTTCTAAAGATCTTTAACGAAGAAGCTCAGAAAGTGTATTTTGCCGATGTGTCCGTGGAATGGAACTTTATTACCAACATAACAGTTTACAACCAGAATGCGATGGTATGTTAGGAAGAAATAAAATGGTAGAGAAATGGAAATATAAAGTTGATACTAAGGAGCCTCTGAGTTTGAGTTTGTTTCCAATTTCATTCCAGCGATTGTATCTTTTTATACTTACCTTAAACATTTTTGGGAGCAATCTAAAAACGAAGAATGAATATTGATTATATTAAATTTTGAATTTGCATTTTGTTCCATCTAGCTTGACCAGAAACTGAAAACCGCCAAATTCGCACAAGAGGCCTACAATAACGCGTCACAGTTTAACCTGACCAACACGACTCCCATTCAAAGACGCCAGCTTATCAAAATAATGGACATTGGTACATCAGCACAAAGAAATCAAACAAAACTGGCTAGGGTGAGTTTGTGAAAGACCATACAATTTCGCAACAAATGAAGAATTCAATACAATTGGTTAAATTTGTGTTACTATTATTACAGCTACAAAAAGTGATAAGCGATATGGAATCTATTTACAGCACCGCCACCTTGTGTTTGAAACCTGACAAATGTGTTCATCTTGACCCAGGTGGGATTAGAGTCAATTTTGCACTATAAAATAATGATGGTAGTTTTGAAATGTTCAACATTACTTAACACAAACTTAACTTGTTGTATAATGTTATTTAGGAAATTGATAGCGTTAAATACAAGCAATGATAGTTCAATGTGTAGGTAAAAATTAAAATATGATCTTTATTTCTTGTCTTGTGTTTCTCGGTTTGTTTTGTTCACAAATTCACAGCTAATACAATACACAATTAATGCATTTAAAATACTATTTTAACTTTAAATATTCGTAGGATAAATTCGTAGGATTCACTACGCTCTTAAAATAATTCCCATCAGGTTTCAAGCTAATATAAAACTTCAATAACATTTTTTGATTCTGTTATCAGATTTGATAATTTTTTCGAGTTAATTTTATTCTAATATAGATATAGAATATAAATTAGACTGTTTAAAGTAACATACTATTCATCTCTCTGTGGCCAAGATCGATGTTTGAAAATCGGGCTTTTTCGAAAAGTTACTCTTATAAATATTAAATTGTACAAGGGTACATTTCTATAATAAATGCTTACTAATATTAGCGGTTCGTTTCTTTAAAAAAATTCTTTTCAGAGCTTACAGAAATCATGGCTATGTCGACAAATTACAATGAACTTTTAAAAGCCTGGCAGGGATGGAGGGATGCTTCTGGTGCTAAGATGAAAGACCTGTTTTCGGAATACGTTGCACTTAGTAATGACGCCATAAAAAGTCTAGGTATGGAGTGCTAATATACTTATATTATAATATACTTATATACTATATTATGTTTTATTTGTATGGTATAATCTTCTTTAAATATGGCGTGGGTTTGGGCGTAGGCATAAGCTTACGATAATATGTTTACGGATACTTATGCTTACGCATTCACATTGTGGACGTGACATTACGTATTTATGGCTTGTACACAAAATGAAGAGCTTTTTACAAGCTTTTATTTAACTTGCTTCCTCTGTCGACAGTCTGTCCTCAGTCTGTCTAGATCGAAACGCCCTAGCGAAATTACACAAACTTCAAACTGACAGATACGGTTCATAGTTGGAACGTGGGTGAAGACATGAAGACAATGCATCGTGACATTAAATTTAACTTAATTATATGCCTAAATAATTTTTTATGACCAAATTAGTAGGCAGTTCTATCCACACGCGTCATCACGGCAAAAGCGCGTCATCACGTACAATATGCGCGCAATGGTTTTTAGTCATGTAACTCTATTGTCGGGTCAGCAGTCTAGTTCTTTACCACTAGACTACTCCATCCCCTAATACTTTATGTAATAAAAAGCTTGTAAAAAATTCTGTAAATATATATATCACTTTAAATAAAAACGTCGGCCGCCATAATAATAAGTATTTAAACAAGCGACCCACGCTTTTCTTTATAGTGATATAAATAGTAGTATTTAAAGAAAGTAATTTTTTTCATATTTAAAGTAACCGCAGATTTATTATATTTTATAAATGATTTTATATTTAATAAAAATTGTATTATTTTCTTCTTTTTAGTGCATTTATAAAAGCTTGTAATTATAAACGTTTTTATGTATTTATTATTCCGTTTATAATTTTTATAAAAGGTCACGCGGACACTGGCGCCTACTGGAGATCTTGGTATGATGACGCTAGTTTCAAGGACGATGTTCGAGCTTTGTTCGATCAGGTCCGGCCACTGTACGAACACCTGCACGCTTATGCTAGACGTAAACTTAAGGCGATCTACGGGGAGGACAAGTTTCCTGCTTCAGGACACATCCCAGCACATCTTCTAGGTAAGGGCACGGCACTTTACTATGGTGGGGGCCGGGATATCACAGCAGACACAACTACTAGGTAAGGGCACGGCACTTAACTTTGGATGTTGGGCATATCCCAGCTCCCTAGTATCGGCTAGTTATTTCTCGGAATGTATGGATGACATTACTAAAAGTAAATTAAGTTAATTAAAACGATTCTTTTGAATAATTATTTTAAATAAAAACAGAATACTGTGCTTTAACAAAATTCATTAGCATAAAGCTTTATATTAGAGGGCTGTCGTTTATATTTGTAGAGATTTTGTATCTATATATTTCCTGTTGCAGGTAATATGTGGGCACAGAAGTGGAATAATATTTATAATATACTTGTACCATTCCGTGACAAACCTACCATGGATGTAACCGATGAAATGATAAGGCAGGTGGGCATCATTGCTTACACAGCTAAGCAAAAACAATACATTGCACAGTTTAAACTATTTCAAAAAGATATTTCTGAGATGTAAACATGATATGTTTCGGACCAACAGAACTACACAGCTCTGAAGATATTCCAGACCGCTGACGATTTCTTCAGATCACTCGGCATGATTCCAGTGCCCGCAACGTTCTGGAACGAATCCCTCATAGAAAAACCTAAAGACGGCCGTGACGTTGTTTGCCATCCGTCTGCTTGGGATTTTTTCAACACTCAAGATTTTCGGTGAGTTTTTGTATTTGTATAGTCTATTTTGTATTATGGTAATGGCATCTGCACAAAAAAAGGCTCAAAATGAAGTATAATATTTTAAAATATGTTGCAGTGTTATTTTAGTTTGTAAATTTTGATTATTGTTTGTTTCTTTAGGAAAATAATACATATAATTACAGCAATTTATATATAATACATTGCAGATCAACACTGACATTTGAGATGCGGTATAACAAGCATTTAATTAGAATAAACATGTACAGCACAAAAAATAAAACTGTATTAAAGTATTATCAGTACTGGAGCTATATATTATTACTTTTGCGTTCTAACCGTGTTAGAATTAAAGCACGGCGATTAATTGAGGTTAATATTTTTAAGTGTGTTCTAAATTGATGAAATGCAGACCTGTTGTTGAGAAGAGTTAATATAGGGGTCATCCATAAATGACGTCACGCTTTTTTGACGATTTTTACCTCCCCCCCCCCTCCCCTCCGTCACACGTCGTCACAAAAAGCCAGAACCCCCCCCCCCCCCGCCTAAAATGACGTCACACCTCAACCTACAACCCCCTCCTCAAAATTGCAGTTGAATTTTTTTTAAACATCGATATTTTTCTAAAATCTTGTCTAAACTATTAAAATTTATTAAAACAGTTATCTAAAACGCGAAATAACTTCTAAAATTCGTTTTCTAACATTGCTTTTTTATAATGCAAAAGTGTGACGTCGCAACATCTGAACCCCCCCCCCCCCCCTCCACTCATCACACATCGTCACAAAATTACGGACCCCCCTCCCCCTTACGAGTGTGACGTCATTTATGGATGACCCCATAGGGAAATGTAACAAACACATCTAAAATTGAAATAGTTTGTTTAATTGGAGAAATCTTTTTAGAACTGTTTACCTATTAACCTGATTTTATGCCTAGAATCAAGCAGTGTACAGTGGTAAACCACGAAGACCTGGATGTTGCCCATCACGAAATGGGACACATTCAATACTATATGCAGTACAAGAATCAGCCCCATAAATTCAGAGCTGGCGCTAATCCAGGTAAGTGTTTCTTCAATCATTTTACTTAATTTGCAGTTGTAAATTCTATGTAATACCGCAAAGGCACAATTTAATGTGTTTACTTTTTAAAAGTAGATTTACGTATGACAGACAAAAATCAATTCTTCTTTAAAGTAGCAACATACAACATTGCAGGTTTTCATGAGGCGATTGGCGACACTATATCGTTGTCTGTTCAGACACAGGAACATATGAAGTCTATCAGTCTGATCACCAATTTAAGTAACGAAAATAGTAAGTAGGGAAATATCTGTTTCAGGAAACTCCTTTTTTTGCATAGAAGCAAGTAAAAAGTAATATATTCCCTCTACCAGAGTCCGACATCAACTTTCTACTGAACATGGCACTGCAGAAGATCGCTTTTCTACCGTTTGGTTATCTTATTGACCAGTGGAGGTGGGAGGTTTTTAGTGGGGAGACGACTAAAGACAACTACAACACCCGATGGTGGGAATACAGGTAACTTAGATTAGCTCATCAACAGATATGTGATGCGAGGCAAAGTTTCTTGGCTACATATCTGTCACATAAAGATATGCAGATCATGGTATAAGCATACATATTTTCATATGCATATATATATAAATATATATATATATAAATAAATAAATAAATAAATAAATAAATATATATATATATATATATATATATATATATATATATATATAAGGTGTCGATACCAGGGTGTGTCTCCACCAGTTCCAAGAAACAGCTCACACTTTGACCCTGGAGCCAAATATCATATACCTACCAATATTCCCTATATGCGGTATGTCGATTATTCTGAATTTTCGGCTAAACAATAAATAAATTTAATAATTAAACAAACAAACAAACAAAAAACAAACAAACAAATAAACAAACAAACAAACAAATATATTTACAGGTGTGTGTATGTATGTATATTATTATACATAAATAAATTAAAATTAAAATTTTCCTAGGTATTTTATTAGCTACGTTATACAGTTCCAGTTCCACAAAGCACTCTGTGACACTTCTGGTTACACAGGTCCATTACACAGGTGTGATATTTACAACAACACTGATGCAGGTGCAAAACTAAGGTAAAAACTCAAATAGTTATTCAAGTGCTAGGGTTCGGCGTGATCGAGTCGATAAAGCCTAGGGTCGCTAAACCGAAAAGTCTTGAGTTCAAACCCTCGGGCAGAAGAGGCTCGTTAGCTGTAGAGACAACTTCAAAATTAAATAACTGCTGCCTTGTAGTTTGTTCTTGTTTGGACAAAGGCTAATTCAAAAAGAAAAGCAGGATGAAATCTGAGCCAATGGCCTCAATGGCGCATAACCAGTTGAAACGTATACTTAATTGTATTGTAGAGGATCCCTTTGAACCCTAAATTTAAGAACGAAGTAAAAAAAAGAAGAATCAAGTGTGAATTGTAATAAAATAATGGCGTGGTACTGGTAGTCATTTGATGTAAACAATACAAACTAGAACTGAGCCTGGTGTCAGGTTTTAGCCATAATGTTTCCCCCCCCCCCCCCCCTTTACAAACACCTTTACAACCCCTCTCCCCCTCCTTTTTTTTTTTTTACTAAAGTGAAATGTTGAGTCTCGGGTCGTCAAAACCTTGGCCAGAAGCCATGCATGTTCTAACTGGCCAATACAAGATGGACGCCCAGCCTCTGATTGACTACTTTAAACCATTAATGGATTATTTGGTTAAAGAAAACGGAAACGACTATGGATGGGATCCACACTGCCCTACTTTATCAAAAGATTCAACGCCACCACAGTTTTCAGGTCAAATAAGTAATCAAATGGGGAGCTATGTTTTGAATTTGATGCTTTCTTTTATTTGTTTTAGTTTTAATACGTTTTATTTTGCAAATTAGACGCTGCCCTATTTGTTTTATTTTGTGCTAAACCAGGTCTGATCAGAATTATGATCACGCAATCTATGATGCATTTATTTATCGATTTTTATTTCAGTCGGTTTAATCGATTACAAAGGAATAATTATGCATAATTATATAGTTTTAATATACTCATTATATTATGATATATGATATGAGATATGATAAAAAAAACAAATAATTATTCAGATATAAATTTTATTTAACTTATTGCATTTTTAAACCAAAAATAAAGATTGCTGTTTTTTTTTAATTTGCATTTCTAAATATGTAGCGTTTTCAGTTGGATGTATGTTTTATTTTTGTAATAAAAGTATCGTTTATTAAAAAGTATGTTCTACAAATATAAATGCTATATTAAAATAGTGGCTTCAAAATTGATTAAATATTTAGGTTGCTGCTTATTGTTACTTAAATTATATAAATTCAAAAATTATCCTATAACAAACTGTTCTATGGATTTCCACGGACAAGTGTAAAAATAATATATATATATATATATATATATATATATATATATATATATATATATATATATATATATATATATATATATGTACACAAAAACCATGCTCGTAACTGCTGCGACAACGCTGCACATAACTGTTGCAACAGTCCTGCACGTAACTGCTACCACAAATCATTCACGTAACTACTGCCACACTTCATGCACTTATCTGACTCCCCCTCTCCTGTACTAAACTACTGCAACCAATGGACTGAATTGCTAAACTTCTCACAATCATGATACTATTACCATCTTTCCACTTAGGATTCTTTAAATAACACAAAAATCAGTAGTTAATTTAAAAATGTAAAGATCTAAAATGCAAGACAAATAATTTAGTCAAGAGAATTTTTTTACTGTAGGCTATTATTCAGAGTGTTCGATCTATTAGATGAAAAGCGCGCTTTTACACCAACTTCGCTTTCATTAACTTTCTTTATACTGGATGTTTTAACATTAATTTGTGTTTAAAACCATATTTAATTCTGATAGCAGACATTATTTTTGCACGTAACTCCTGCAACACCCCTGCACGTAACTGCTTCCACACATCATGCACTTATCTGACCCCTCACTTAACTACTGCAACCCATGTACTAAATTGCTTCTCACCATCATTATCCTATTACCATTTTACCCACTTAGGATTCGAACCTGTAGCAGTTAGAAATACAAGCCGATATGTAGTCACCTCTGCTATTCCGTTTCGTTCAAGCTTAAAATATTTAAATATGATAAGTTATTATCTCGGACACATCAACATTTGAACTTTTTGTTTATTGTGTATGCATTGTGTTAAATATAAAATTAATTGAACTGTAGCAAAATATTTATTCTAAAATGCACAATAAATGAGATAAATAATATTACATCAATTGCACACATAGTAAACATATTCAAACGGCTATAGATCTTAAATAGTAACAAATATAAATAAACTTAGCACATCATATAATGTGTCAACATGTGTTAGTGCTTTCTTATAATATACTATTGCGTATTACGACTGTCATATACTGTGTTAACATATGTTACGGCTGTCATGTAATGTGTTAACATGACTGTGTTAGAGCTGTCATATAATATGTCGACATGTGTTAGGACTGTCATATGATGTGTTAACATATGTTAGGACTGTCATATACTGTGTTAACATCTATTAACACTGTCAAATGATGTATTAACATCTGTTAGTGCTGTCATTTAATGTACTGTTACGTGTTACGACTACGACGGTCATATACTGTTAACATGTGTTTCGGCTGTCATGTAATGTTTACATGTCAAATCGAGTGCAAAAAAATTGAAATTGTTAAGACAGTCATAGCGTGGTTTAATATGTGATAATACATTCATAAAATGTGTTAACATGTGTTAGAGGTTTCATATAATCTGTAAACATGTGTTTAGGCTGTCGTTAGGGCTGTCATATAATGTCTTTTATGGTGTGGTATATTGCTGATATGGTTGTGATTGAAACTATTATAATCGGGTACTGATGATGTGGTATTAAGCTGATGTGGTTGTGATTCCATGATTATGATAATGTGGTTCCGTTCTTATGATGATATGGTGCAATATGTAATAGTGAAAACTCAGTGCGTGTCCAAAATCGAGGATAAATTCAGTGACATCTCAGGTCATTTGTCAAATTGACCCAATAATCTGGGAACAGTGACACGTTGAAGTTATGAAGACAAGGTAATCTGTAGGTCAGGTTCCAGTGGTAAAATATAGACGAGTGAAGCTGGTCTTAGGATGATGTGGTACCCGATGGTATTTTGAGGCTTACAATGATGTGATACATTTCTTATGATGATGTGGTATATGGCTGATGTGGTTGTGATTCAATATGATGATGCTTATGATGATGAGGTGCAATTCTTAAGTTGATGCGATACAATGTTGGTGATGATGTTTACAATTGTTGGTGATGATGTGGCACAGATTCTGATGATTATGTGTTACAATTCTTATGATAACGTTGTACAATAATTATGATGTTGTACAATGTTTATAATAATGTGGTACGATTCTAATGGTGGCGTGGTATACTGTTTTTGATGATGTAATTAAGGGCTTACAATAATAAAATGATACGATGCTTATGATTAATGCTCCATATCAAACTCGTGTTGATGGGACTTGAGGCAACTATTTTGGGAAGAGTCTATTATCGGTGGAAGGTAGAAAGATTATTTGAAGTGTGGACAGAACAGGTCAAACCATTGTCATGAAAAGGGATGACAGGGCTAAAATATGGCTGTATCAGAAACACAACTCACAAACACATCACAACCTAATCTGTTACGTAACACTTTCGCCTGTCATAACCCGATTATGTAACTTGTGGTCATATTACATCATTCAAATCCCCAACATATGGCTGTATTAGAAACACAACTCACAAACACATCACAACCTAATCTGTTACATAACACTTTCGCCTGTCATAGCCTGGTTACGTAGCTTGCTGTCATATTACATCATTCAAATCCCCGATGGTTGAGTTAAGTTTAAACGTTAACCCCAGAATCCTCTACCTAGTTGCGTAATAGTGAAATTTCAGTGCGTGTCCGAATTCGAGGTAATTCAGTGACATCTCAGGTCAAATGTCAGATTGACCCAATAGTCCAGGTACAGAGACAAGTTAAATTTGTGGCGACAAGGTCATCTGGAGGTCAGGTTCCAGTGGTAGAAATGTGCATGAGTGAAGCTGGTCTTATGATGATGTTGTGGTCAATACGTATGTTGAAGTGCAATTCTTAGTAGATGTGGTACGATTCTTATAATGATGTGTTACCATTCGGATGTTGTGTGGTATGTAACAGTATGTGATGTGGTTCAGAGTTGCTAATTAGGTAATGATGTTGTAATTCTTAAAATGGTGTGGTAAAGTACGGGTGTGGATGTGGTAAAGGACTGATGTGGTTCAGAGCTATTGAGCAGTGTTTACAAAACTTTACATGGAATGTTCAAGGGCCATCCATGATGTACTGTAAAGTTATAACATAATTAGAGGCTTTCAATATTGGTCTCATTACAACTATGTCACGTTACAACTATGTCACGTTACAACTCTGTCACGTTTCAGCTCTGTCACACAACAACTTTCTATAACAGGTGCACGTGTGTTGATCAGCGTGAATTGAGGATCATCCGACACAATTCTATACGGTTGTTGACGTATTGAACAATTCCAAACAAACAAGTGGAAGACAACGGAGTATCTTAAGTTGTGAGTGTAGGCACAGGTCACCTTAGAATCTTGTGACGTCAGAATAATGATCCATTTCAAGGTCGTGTTGTTGTGGCTTGGGGCAACGAGTTTTGGAAGAGTCTATTATCGGACAATGGTAGGAAGTTTATTTGAAGAGTAGACAAAGCAGGTCAAACCATTGTCATGAAAAGGGATGACAGGTCTAAAATATGGCTGTATTAGAAACACAACTCACAAAGTAAGCTGTTACGTAATTGGTTTGACTGTCATAACCCGATTATGTAACTTGTGGTCATATTACATCATTCAAATCTCCAACATATGGCTGTATTAGAAACACAACTCACAAACTCATCACAGACTAAGATGTTACGTAACACCTTCACCTGTCATAGCCTGGTTACGTAACTTACGGTCATCATTCAAATCCCCGATAGTTGAGTTAAGTTCAAACGTTCACCCCAGAATTATCTACCTAATTGCGTAATAGTGAAAACTCAGTGCGTGTCCGAAATTGGGGTTTAATTAAGTGACATCTCAGGTCAAATGTCAGACTGACCCAATAGTCCTGGCACAGTGACAAGTTAAAGTTGTGGCGACAAGGTCATTTGAAGCTCAAGTATTAGTGAAAGAACTGTGCTTGAGGTCACATGATGATGTGGTACAACACATATGGTGATGTGGTACAACACATATGGTGATGTGGTACAATGAATATGATGATGTGGTGCATAAATATAATCTGTAGGTCGTGTCACTGATAGGGCCATACATGTCGGATACAGGGCTGTATGTGATGTGGGTACAGGGTTGTATATGATGTGGTACAGGGCTGTATATGATGTGATACGAGATGATGTGGTACAGGGCTATATATGATGTGATACGAGATGATGTGGTACAGGGATGTATGATGTGGTACAGGGTTGTGCGTGGTACAGAGCTGTATATGATGTGGTACAGTGATGTATAATGTTATACAGAGCTGTATCTAATGTGGTACAGGACCGTATATGATGTGGTGCAGGGCTGTAAATGATGTGATACATGTCTGTATATTATGTTTCACATGGCTGTATATGATGTGGTACAGGGCTGTATGATGTGGTATAAGGTTGCATGTGGTACAGGGCTGTATATGATGTAGTACAGGGCTTTATGATGTGGTACAGGGCTGTATGTAATGTAATACAGGGCTGTATATATTGTTGTAAATGGTCTTATGACATGTTCTGGGGCTGTACATGACTTATTACAGGTTGAATAGGATAAAACATCGACAGCGGTGAACAAACCATTACAAAATAAGGGGGTGGCAGG